AACAGGAAATAAGGATTTCTAGGCACGAAGAGAGTAGGCAGGTCACAAGAGGGGCTGGGAAATGGGACAGTGAACCAGACAAGATGGGGGAGCACAAGAAGGCAAAAGAAATGATACCACTGGGAAGGGACAGGATCAGAGGAAAGGGAGGAAGACAAGGACGGTAGCCAAGGGAGAGACTCGGTAACCCATCCTCACCTGCCCTGACTCAGCCTCACCCTCCACCAGCTCTCCCCTAGGGAAGGGTCTCAGCAGCCCACTCCCAGGCTCTCCAGGCCTCCAACCCATCCCTCTGGGTCTGTGGTCATCTCTGGGCTTTGGGCCCCCAGTTTTCTGGGTCTCCGTTCTCCACCCCTGGGTGTCCAGCCTCTCTCCATCTGTCTCTGTCTCTCTCTCATCTCTGTGCCCCTCTCTCTGGATCTCTGGCCCCCTCTTTCCCTGTCCTGCTCTCTCTGGGTCTCTGTCTATCTCAGTCCTTACCTTCAGTTTGGACTGGATTTCTCTCGATTTCCTTCGAGCCAAAACCTGGATGTGACTAGAGACCTGCAGGAATGGACAGAGAAGCAAAATTGGAGCCATGGTCACCCACTTTGATACTGCTTCTTCTTCTCTCCTGCCCGTAGTGCCCCTCGACAGGAAGGATGGCGAAGATGTGGGACAAGCAAAAGTTCCCTCCCAAGAACTGACTACCTTATGGATCACCTTGTCCCACCCCCGTCCTCCCCTTTTAGGCTCTTTTGGTCTCCAATTCTGCTTCTACAACAACCACTACAGAAACTATCCCCCAATAGGCAGTGCAGTCATACTACCAGGCCTGCCAAGGAGCCAGACAACAGCCCATGAACCAGACACCCTTGACTGGGGAGCCCACAGGAAGAGGTCATCCCGAAGGAGAGAAGCCAGCCCCAACAGAAGCCCACACGCCAATCCTGAGACCTGTTTCCGAGTCCGGGTCTTCCCGGTTCTGAGCTTGATATAGCGGGCAATCAGTTCATTGCGACCTGAAGAGTCCACACAGAAGAGTTAGCTGGTCAACAGAATTTCCTTACTAAGGACTGCAGCCAGCTGGGCTCCCAGGTCTGCTCGGGTACAGGGTAGGGGCAAACTCCTGTGAGCAAACCCCAGCCTTGCCACATACTAGCTCTGTGACCTTAGGCAAACCACTTAACCTTCCTCTGTCTCAGTTTCCTCATCTGTGCAAATGGTGATGCTAGCTTCTAGCCCAGGTGATGAGACAGATTTTTTACATGGACAGTGTTCAGGGCTCTATGAAGGTGATTATCGTTATTACACAGTAGGGGTCAGGACAAGAGAGGGGTGAACTCACCATACATCTTGCCTTCATCAGACAGGATGATTTTCCGGCGGCCACAGGGTGGGTAGATGGCCAGCGCCTCCTGGAAGCTCTGCTCAATGTCTGGGCTCCAGACACCCTCTGCATCTGGGCCACCATCACCCCCGGCCCCCTCGCTGCCACCCGTGCCCTCCTCACTGCCTTCCTCACTGCCAGTCCAGGTGCTGCCATCCTCCAGGGGGGCCCCAGCCCGGGGTTCCCCCATCTGGGCCTGGAGGAACACAGAGCTCAGCAAGCTTCCCCGATCCACCCAGAGGGGCTCAAAACTGTAGACTTGGGGCCTGGAGTCCTGGGTATGAAGGAGAGCTGGGCCGGGACCCTCACGTCTGAGGGAGGAGGACAGGGACCTGGGGACTGCCTAGGCCTAGTTGCCTGGGTCTCAGGGGAGAAAGAGGATGAGTCTCTGGAGTAGTTTGGGAGGGGAGGTTGTTCTCCCCTCAGTTCCCGAAGAGTTTGCACTGCCAGGAAGCCTAACCACTCCTGAGTAATGCCTAGGACCATGAGGGCTGCAACTTTTGAGTGTGGGTGACCAGTTCAAAGAACACAGCAGTTGGGTCAGTTGCTGGGCAGCAGAGTGTGGGGGAAACCTCCCGGTCCCACCCCTAGAACAGGTGTTAGGAAGCCAGCAGCTGCAGCTAGAAAGGAGGAGGGGCCTAGGCCCAACACAGGCTGAGCCGAGAGACCCAGGGAGGGGACAGAGACCAGCGAGGGGGAGGGGCGCAGTTGGGAGATGGGGGCACGACAGAGATTGAGGGAGGGGGCAAGGGGCCAGAACCCAGAGAGGGATAAGGGAACGGGAGAGGCGGGAGCAGAGACCCAGTGAGACAGGAGCAGAGATTGAAGGCGAAACTGATGCCGACCTGGAAAGAGCCACAGAACCACAAGCTGGGGGACAAGGGCGCCCACAGAACTACAGCTGGGAGCACAGAGGTGCCCACAGTACCACAGGCTAGAGGACAGGGGCGCCCACAGAACCACAGATTGGGGGGACAGTGGCTAGGACCATCTGGAGAGCCAGAACAAAGGGCCCAGGCGTCCCCTCCCCCAGCTTCCCACAACCCTCGTCAGGGGCGGGGCTGCCAGCCTGAGCGCCACCCCTCCGGCCCGGCCCCGCCCCTTCCCCTCCCGCTATGCCGTAGGCTAGATCCAAGCCAAGTTCCCTGTGACTTTCCAGAGGCCGGGAACGGGGAAAACTTTTTCCAATACAGTATGATCCCGCCTCTCTGGAGGTTCAATGTCTTCCGCAGTTCTCCCAGGACCCGAGTCTAGATCTCCATCCCCGCTCCTCCCTCGAACCCCAGACCCAAGGCAGAAGAAGACAAAGACCCGAGGCCCAGCCCAGTGCCGCTGCGCGTTCAGGACCCCCCTAGGCCAAAACCCTAGCCCAGCCCTCCCATGTGGCCAGACAAAGAGAAGGAGGCGGCGGGGAGGAAAGATCCCCCCTGATTTCTCACCCCAGGCCTCAAACCTCAAAAGCACATCCGGGATGCCCCGCAGCCCTCCCTCGGCCACCCAGGGGGGCTCCTCGTGTCCACAAGGCGGGCCGGACGCCCACAAATCACACCCGCACACCACCTCGATCAGAAACACACTTGAAGTCTTTCTCGTGGCCAAGTGGCACCAAGACTCCACGCCGCTACTTGCAGGGTCCCAGATCCCGGCCACCCCTCTTCCAGATCGCACGCGTCCCCAGCGCCCCAACTCCGCCAAAGTTCCCACTGCGCCCGCGCGCGCGCAAACTCGCGCCTTGGGCCGAGGGGGTGCGGGCCTTTTCCAGAGTGTTCCCAAACGCAACCTCATCTCATCCCGCGTTAACTTCCCACCCCAACTCACACACCCCAGAGCAGGATCTCGACTCCCGCCGGCGCCTTCCTACCTCCCGGCCTGGGGCTGGGGAGCCGCGGGCGGGCGGGGCGCGGCGGCGGAGAAAGTTGCCGGGAGCTTTGTTTGGGAAAAGTGGGAGGGACCGAGGGGGGGCGGGCCCGAGGCGGCCGGCGGAGGGGACGGGATCCCACAGTGACAGTTTGGGGGAGGATTCTCGCTTTAGGAGAGAAGTCTAACTTCTCTGGGAAGAACTCGGGATTCAGGCGCTTGAGTCCCCAGGACATAAAAAGAGGGAAGGCTTGGGACCTCCCGGGTCTGAGGGAGGTGGCTGGGGGACCTAGGCCTCCTGAGTCTGAGCGAGGAGGCTGGACCTGGACCCCTGGCGTCTGCACCCCTGGCTATCCTCTGGGACATAGGTCCCTGTGGTACTGATTGGTAATTATACAAACACGGAAGAATCTTTAGTGTCAGCCCCAAGTATATTCCTGAAGCTTAGGCCACTGGGATGGGTCCGGTTGACTCCTGTGCAACATGGCTTCCTTGTGACTTCACCCATTTAAGAGTCCTAGACAAGATCTACAGAGGTTGTTAGAAGTCCCGGGAGGTATGGGATCGAGCTCACATGCCTCGGTGGCCTGGAGGCCGTGGTTGTCCTAGGATGGGACAGGCCTCAGCCCCAGGAAAAAAGGGTTAAGACCCTGACTCCTGATTCTTTAAAAATGGAAGAGTGGCCAGATGTGGTAGCATGCCTGTAATCTCAATACTCGAGAGGCTGAGGCAGGAGGATTGCCATGAGTTTGAGGCCAACCTGGACCAGATAGCTAGAACCTGTCTCAAAAAAATAAAGAAAGAAGAATAAAACAAAAAAGAAGGACTGAACGCCCACCACCATGTGCTGCCAACTGGATTCTGAGATCCTAAAAGGAAAATAAACCTGGAACCTTAACCTTGGAAGACAAAGCTTCCAAAGAAAGCAATGTTTTCACTTTTTTTTTTTTTTTTTTTTTTTTTTTTATTGGTACCAGAGATGGAACTCACGACCACCTGCTTGCAAGGCAGGCGCTTTTGCCGCTGAGCTAAATCCCCAGCTCTGAAAGCAAGGTTTTTAAGTGGAATCAGATACAGGAAAAGGAGAAGGGAGGAAGGAGAAAGCCTCAGAGGTAAACCGAAGGAGCCAGGGGAGGTGCTAAACTCCTCCTGTGATCTCAGCTCAGCCTGGGCAATTTAGCAATTTGGCGACAAACTATGGCAAAAAATAAAAAAAGGGTCCGAGGATATATAGCTCAGCGGCACAGTGTCTGCCTGCCTGAGAAGCACAAGGTTCTAAATTTGATTCCTGGTACCAAAATAAGTAAATAAATAAATAAATAAGGGCTGGGAATACAGCTCAGTGTAAAGGTCCTGGATTCAATCTCCCGTGCAAAAGAAGAAAATAAAAACCCTCATGAGGAAGTAACTAGAATGCTCGGATCACGGCGTTTCAAGAGCACAGGGGGGCTAGGAATGAAACTGGGGTAGGGGACTAAGACACACAGGAGACTCAAATTTAGGAGCCTGTTCTAAAGAGAGGGGTGTGGCCTTAAAATGAACCAGCTATTTGAGATATAGTCCTTTGCACCAGGACTAGCATTGAAGGGCTAGGTCAGAGCATACAGCTCTGATAGTGTACTGGGTCTCCAGGGTTAATACGCAGAAGGGGCGTGGTCTTTGAAGGAGGCGTGACCAAAGGAAAATAGGGCTATGGTTTGTGTTTAAGGGAGAATGGAGGCGTGGCTATGAAATAGAGATGCAGACTGCAGGATGAAGTCAGAGGGTGGGCGTGGTCAGGACACGGGGGCGTGGCCACCCCTAACGCTCCAGGTGTCTCGCGTGGGCTGGAGACCAGAACTGTTTGGACTGTAACTGTCCTCCGCTGACTGCAGGAGTCAGGGAGTCTGGTGACTGCTGTGGTCTAGCATAAGGGCGGGACACAGAAGAAGGGGCGGGGCGTGGGCAAAGGTGAGGCCTCAGGTGGGACTAACTCAAAAGAAATCTGGGAGGAGGGCAGACTGTGTGGGATGGAAGGGGAGGGAATGGAAGAAAGGCCGAATGGGTGCACAGTAGGGAGTTGCATCGACAAGGACCAAGGACCGGGCCTGGGCGAGGGACAAGATGGAGGTGTCCCAAGGGGGTTGTGGCCCGGTGGGATGACCGCCCTGACCCCCTTTTTGGCACAGCCTGTCACCTGGCCATGTGGCATCCGCTGGGCCTGCTGCTGCTGCTGCTGCTCCCCTACGCCTTGGTGCCCCCCTCGTCCTCGGCCCCCATCCACGACGGTGAAGCCCAGGAGAGCTCCTCAGATTTCCTAGGCCTCCAGAGCCTCCTCCAAGGCTTCAGTCGACTTTTCCTGAAAGTAAGTGTTGGCGGGAGAAGAGCAGGGAAAAGGAGAGAGAGACAGGGCTATAGAAGACAGGAAGACAGAGAAGGTAAGAGGCAAAGAGGACAGATAAGGAAGAAAGGGGTGGGAACAGAGACAAAGGGACAGGTGAGAGACAGGAGTATGGGGCTGAGGACAGAGACAGGACAGATAAACCTTGGGGAAGAGAAAGACTTGAGCCAAGGCCTGTGCGCATCCCGGGAGACAAGGTCCAGTAGCTCACCGGCCGCCCCTCGGGCCCTAGGATGACCTGCTGCGGAGTCTGGACAGCCTCCTCTCTGCCCCTTTGGACTTCTGGGGCCTCCCCAGAGACTTCCACCAACAGCAGGACCAGGAGCGCCAGCTGGGGAACAAGACCCTCTCCAGCCACCTCCAGATTGACAAGGTGCCTCCGAGGGGAACCCTGGCCTGCAGTCTCCTGAGCAGAAGGAGCACGGGGAGCAAAATAGACTTGTCTTCACTTTCCAACCCTTCTGTCCCAATAGGTGACGAACAACAAGACAGGAGAGGTGCTCATCTCTGAGAAGATGGTGGCCTCCATGGAGCCAGAAGGAAGCCTGGAAGGTGACCAGAAGGTAAGGACATGGACCACCCCAAGGAACCCCTACTTTTTCTGTTGTTTAGGAGGGGAAAGGAATTCACCTCCTGCTTTCTCTGGATGCGACTTCTTGTTTTCAGTTTTGTCATCTGTTAAAGGAGAAACCAAAAAAAGGTGTGTGTTGGGGGGGACCAGATCAGAGATGAGGTCCACAGCCTCAGAATACATCCCCAGGGCCAGAGATATAGTTCAGCAGCACAGTGCCTACCAGGTAAGTGTAGTGCTGAGTTCAAGTCACAATACAAAAACAAAACATATATATATATATATATATATATATATATATATATATGTGTGTGTGTGTATATATCCTCAACTATTGAGGAAAGCACAGAGAGTTTTGCGAGCTCCAAATGCTTTGTAGACTAAGATATGCTTTTACTTCCAAGGGCTTTGTAAGATTCACACAAACAAACCTCAAAATATGTTTGTATTCAAAATACGTGTTCTTCTCCAGGACTTAAAAAATCTATCCCAAGTCCTTGTTAAACTTCTTCCTTGTAAATTTCAAAAGGTATGCTTTGGGGCTGGGGGTTTAGCTCAGCAGCATAAGCACCTGCCTGGCAAGCAGGTGGTCGTGAGTTCAATCCCTGGTACCGATAAAAATGAAAAAGACAAAAAAAAAAATTTCAAAAGGTATGCTTTAACCCTGGACCTTCATAATGATCTATAGCCCCAGCCCTTTTTAATGTTATTTTAAATTTTCAGACGACCTTGCTAAATTCTCCAGGCTAGACTCAGACTTGATTTTTCTGTATCAGCCTCCCAGAGTGCTGTGATTATAATTGTATGCCACCACACCCAGCACAAAATGTGTTTTTTGGGGGGCCAGGTATGATGGTGCATGGCTGTAGTTCTAACACCTGGGAGGCTGAGGCAGGAGGATTGCCATGAGTTCAAATTCAGCATGAACTACATGGGGAGACTTTGTCTCAAGCCAAGCATTGTTGGCTATTGGTGGCACATGCCTGTAATCCTAGCACTAGGGAGGCTGAGGCAAGAGGATCACCATGAATTTGAGGACAGCCTGGGCTACCTAGCTCAAAGTCAGCCTGAACTATGTAGTGAGACTCTGCCCCACTCCCCCCAAAAAAACCAAGGGCTGTGGTGCACGCTTGGGAGGCTGAGCCAAGAGGATTGCTGTGAGTTCAAGGCCAACCTGGTTTACACAGCAAAACCCTGTCTCCAAAAATAAACACAAATAGGGGGGTGGGGATTTAGCTCAGAGGCATAAGCACCTGCCTTGCAAGCAGGTGGTCATGAGTTCAATCCCCAGTACCAATAAAAAAAAAAAAAACCCACAAACAGTAGAAATAAAATGTTTAATATGTTTGTTTATTTATATATTTATTTCTGAACTGTATGACAGGAATTGCTGACATCAAGATATTTTCCCCTAAATTCTTGCACAACATCTTGTAAGAATATTCTCCCTTGTGACCTAAGTATTATTTTTATGGCCAAGAAAAATAATGTTGTTTAAAAAAAGAAAAGAAATGTAATGCTGTTATCAAACTTATCTCTGTTTTATTTTACTAGGGCTGCTATAACAGGCCCACCAATTTGGTAGCTTAAATGATGGAAATTTATTGTCTTACAGTTTTAGAGCTTAAGCTTTCAAGATCAAGGTGTCAGCAGTCAGTTTCTTTCTTTCCTTCTTTCTTTTTTAGTCCTGGGAAATCAAACCTGAATACTTATTATATGGAGCTACACTCCCAACCCACTTTTTAATTTTATTTTGAAAAAAGGCCTCAGTTTCTCAGACTGAGCTGCAGTTTGTAATCTCTTTGCCTCAGCACCCCACCCCGCCATCCCAAGTGTGGGGGTCCCAGGTGTGCGCCATCATGCCCAGCTTGAGAAGTTTCCTTCTAAGAGGTGCAAGTGAGAATCTGTTCTCTGCCTCTCCCTCAGCTTCTGGAGTTTGCTGCGCATCCTGGGCATCTCTTGGCTTTTCGATGCCTCTTCCTGATCTCTGCCTGCATCTGCCTGGCATCCTCCCTGTGTGTTTCTGTGACCAAATTTTCTATCTGCATGAGGACACCAGTTAGATTAGGTCCCAAACTAAGACTTTATCCTAACTAATGAGCTCTGCAATATCACAAACAAGGTCACATCCCAAGATATCCAACATACAAATTAGAGAAGGGTAGCTATCTACCCCGAAGGCTTCTCAAACTTCAGCTTGTTATGTGCAGACACTGGGTGGGGTAGAACCAACTAATCTTTGTCCCTCCCACTTTGAGTAGCAAGGTCCAGAAGAACATTCAGTCCACCATCAAATTTCCCCACTTAAAGCTGTCCTTGAAAGCTGGTTTCATTTTTGATCCAGGATTTGATCAAAGATCCCACACTGCATTTATAATCATGAGTCTTTGGTAAACCCAAGAGCGTTTCGTCGCAAGGCCATTTGTACATTCAAACTGCCTTCTAAACCTCAGTCTTTAATCCTAAAGTGCTTTGTAATCCAGTAGGCATTATAAACTCTAAAGTTCTCTATTTACTTCCCTTTTAAAACCCCCCAATTGTATTTTTAATGCCCAACTATTGTAGAAATCTTAGTGTCTTTAATTCTAAAGTATTTGCAAACCCAATGGATTGTAAACCTCAGCTTTTTAACCCCTAAGCTCCTGTCAGCTCTTAAGTGGAGTGAGCTGAGTGCTGGGTGTGCTATGTAGAGTGTGAGTAAATCTTGCCTCTCCTTCCCAGTTTCCCAAGGAGAAGGAAGCCCTGGTGTCCCCTGGAAAGGGCATAGGTAGCTCCCATCCGCAAGCCCACCGCCGAGTGGCCTTCTGGATCATTAAGGTGCCACAGAGGAAGTTCCATCAGGAAGCTAAGGAGGTCGGCAACTGGCAAAGCGAGAAGAAACACCGCCTGCAGGCCATCCGGGAGGGGCTCCGAGAGGGGGCCCATGATGGTGTCGTGGAAAGTGGGGCCCAGGACTTCCGCCCCAGGCTGCCTGCCCGCAAGACCCACTTCGTGTATATCTTCAGGCCCTCCCAGCAGCTGTAGAGGTGGGGCTGGAGGGCCCTGCACAACCCCTCCCCAGGTCCCACCCCCAGCACCATATGGAAATAAAAGAGTTCTAACACCTAGTAAACTCTCCAGGTTTGGTTTCTCATTCAAACGGGGTCTAGCTCCCCAATGAGCCTGTCCCTTCTAGCCCTGTCTGCCCTCTCAGCCCCCAGCTCTTTCACCCCAGTCCTGACTGTCTGCTTGGCTACCATATTAGTTTCCTGTGATACCATAACAAGTAATCACTGATTTAGTGACCCCAAAGCAACACAATGTCTTTTTTTTTTTTTTTTTTGAGACAGGGTTTTGTTCAGGCTGGCTTTGAACTCACTATGTAGCTTAGGTTGGCCTTGAACTCACAATGATCCTCCTGTGACAAGAGATATCATCCCTGGCCACAACTGGCTTGAAACTCAAACCGATCCCAGGTGACTCCATTTTGTGGCCACTCCAGATAGCTCTGCCCTTTAACCTGTGACTCTGTCCCCTCTGGTGTTACTTGGAAGCTTCTCAGGTCCAGTAAATATACAAAGCTGAGCATGCATGGCCTACTAGAGTCCTCAGATCACTTGAGGGGTCTCCTTCCCACAGACTACCCACACCCACCCTGTGCTACAGCACAGGTCCCAGTAAAACTCACTGCAGGGGTTCTGTAAACCTACTTGCTGTTTGTACCTCAAACAGTGTGAGCAGAGCAAGGCACATTAAAAAGAGCTGTAAACAAATAGGGGCTGCTAACCCGGAAGAGCTCCAGAGACCCGCAGCAGCCCATGAAAATCTGAGCAAGCTGATGGCAGAGAACATCAGACACTGGCAGTGTCCACCAGCTGGCCAGTGACAAGCAGCACTGACCAACCACAGTGATGGACATCGACTGATAGTGTTTGGCAGCGACCAGCGGAGAATCCCAGAAAGGCAGCAGGAGACACTGGGAGAGCTCCAGAAAGCTGCCAGAGGGCACTGGGAGCCTGAGCTACAGAAGGGCTGGTGGGGGAGCTGGGAGCTGCCAAGGGCTGTGACTCTGGGGCCAGAGCCACAGGCACTCAAAGCCTAGAGCTGCTGATGACACTGCACTTTGCTGGGCCGTGACTGCCATCCAAATTGAGCAACAGAACCCTCAGCTGATAGGTGACAAGATCATAAAACTAGAGGTAGAATGGAAGAAGGTTGACCAGGAAGGGTATTTCGGTAGCAAGTTTGTTCACTGGTATTATGGATTAAAAACTGATGGTCAACTGAACGCCAGCTGGATTACATCAGCACGGTGCTGAGAATAGATGTCCCACCTGAGGAAAACTGCCAACATAAATAGAGACGTGGAGAAGGAGATAGGAGGCATTGAGGCGTTAAGGCATTGAAGCATTGTGGATTCTCCTACATGTTGCTGTTTGAGCCGTCAGTTCTCCTGGAGAAGCTCTGGTTCTCACATCGAGCACTGCTTCCTGGCTCAGGAGGGGAAGATGTGTGCTGCTTAATCTCCAGGATGAACTCATCATACTGGCTTCCTGGCATGTACTCCACTGTGCTTATAGTTGGAGGAGCTCAGGGCCTTCATGTTGCTGAGGATGACTGTGGTGCTTTTCAGGACAGCCCTAGTCTTTGTTTTGAGTGTAATTTCTTGGCTTCAGTGTAGCACCCTCAACCTACCAGCACAGTTCCTTCACCCTGCTGGCATAGACTTTCTGGCTTCCACTGTTGATCTTTGGGCCTTCCCAGCACATATCCGTAAAACAGACTGGTGTGAGTCCTTTTTGTGGGCTCTAAACCTCCAGTTGGACTCATGGGAGGCATTGTCATGAGCTCTGGGTTTTCGCTTGGACTCATGTAAGACATTGTTGTGAGATTCAGGCCTTAGCTGAATAGTCTGTGTCTTTGGTGTTGTTGATAAATTTCCTGCACTTTCTTATGTTAACTCTGGGTGACCATCATAAAATAATATTATAAACTCCATGTCCTGATTTTAATTGTTCTCTGTACAACCACTGACTACAACAATTGGTTTGCAGTTCTTGGGTTTGTAGACTGAAATTATAGACATCTGCTTCTATGGCCATTTGGTTTTGGTTTTGGGGAGTTTTATTTGTTTGTTTTTAGAAGGGGTCTCCATATGCAGTTCAAGCTGGCCTTGAACTCACTTTGTAGTCTAGGCTGGCCTTGAACTCACAATGATCCTCCTGCCCCAGCCTCCTAAATGCTGACATTACAGGCATAAGCCACCATGCCCAGCCCTCTATGGCATTTGATATTGAATTTCTGTATTATTCTCTCTGCAACAGAAAAAAAAATCTACATTTTATAATTAAAGAAGTGACACAAACTTACTTACTTTTTAAAAAATATATCCAAGCAAAGCACAGCGACATGTACCTGTAGTCCTAGCTACTCAAGAGGCTGAGGCAGGAGACTTACTTGAGCCTGGGAACACAAGGGGTAGCATCATGATGGGCAACATTATAAACTCCAGTTAAAGAAAAACATATTTTCCCGCTACTCTAATGGAGTAGGTAGTATCAGAGTAACTCTCCCACCACAAGTACCTATGAGTTCTGAATATAGCTAATAAAAATGACTATTCTGCCAAGGATTTACCTTAGTAGCATAAACGCCTGTCTGGCAAGCACGAGGTCCTGAGTTTGATCCCCAATACCAAAAAAAAAAAAAAAAAAAAAAAAAAGGGACTGGAATCATAAGGGTGCCAAAGCAGATACAATTCACAGAATCATGGTTCCAGAGAGCAGGGAAATGTGGTGAAATGAGACTGCCTTCAAATGATTTCCTCTCAGGTTTTGCCAACTCTTAAAAATACGCTGGGAGAACAAAGGCAGAAAATTGCTGCCCCATGGGCAGAGTTCAAAGGAGAATTTAGAGCCTCACAGCATTGGGGAAGGAAGAATTTGAATTCAGGATCTGGCAAGGAGGAAGGAGCCAGGAAACACCTCAAGCTTTCAGGCAAGAGCCAGAAAAAGCTCTACTCTAGAACTGGGAGCAAACTCAAAACAGATCAGCCTCAACTGGATCAAGACGATCTTTCCAAAGCTGGACATGATGGCACATACTTGTGATCCCAGCACTTGGGAGGCTGAGGCAGGAGGACTCCACAAGTTTGAGCAGTTCAAGGCCACCCTGGCCTGAATTGCATAACAAAATCCTACCTCAAAAAAGTAAAAAAAAAACTTCCCATTCTAAAAATTTAGTAGACAATTTTCACACTGGATTAGACCCAAGAGAGAATCAATCAGTAAAAATATCTGGTCTAAGTCAAAGAGAAAATGTATGGAAGTATATTATGAGGGCAAAATTATAGAATGAAAAACTTAAAGACATTTAATGTAGCAGTTATCAGTTGGTGGCCTGTGACTGTACTCCTGCTGCCTGTCACATATTAGCCTGCTAAGCTCAGCCAGCCTTGACTGTCTGCATCCAGCCGCTTCTCCCAGATAAGTGATGGGTCAACATGACTGCATGCAGCTGTATTGTTTGTGTTTTTCTTGATTCGGAAAAATATATACAGTTTCCCAACTTGCTTCCAGGACTTGATGTCTGGGACAGACTGGCCCAGTCAAGGACACATTTAACTCTACCTGCTTCACTCAAGCCCCCCTCCCCTCATTCCTGGAATGTAAATACTTCCTTTTGGGTTAATTTACTTATAACTAGTTAGCTTGATAACATGACTTAATTCATGTAACCAATCACGTAATAACCTGCCATCAGCCTTGTACTCTGCCTTCCAAACTCCTTGGTGCAGAGCATTTTCCTTTCAGTCTAGGGTTTTTCCACATCATAAAAAGTATATGAAATGTATAGATCACAATGTCTAACAGACATATACTGTAGTCTTAGAAGAAAAGAAGGAAAAAAAGAAGAAGGAGAAGAAGGAAGAGGAGGAGGAGGAAGGGGGAATGAGAATAAAGGTTGTCACAATTTATATCTTAAATATCCCCCAAAAGGCTCCCAAGTTCAGCAGTTGGGCTCTTGCAAGGAGCCCGGATCACAGCTCATCAGGGAATTCATCTGCTGAAGAGTTTGGGGCTGGACATGCTATTAGGAAGTGGGGTCTGGCTGGAAGAGGCAGGCACTGGGAGTGTGACCTGGAGGAGCATATTTTCCTCCCCTCCCTCTCCCTTCGCTCTCTCTGCTCCTTGAAAACCTTGACCTGTGCTGTGTTCTGCCACACCCTTCCACCATTGTTGGGAGCCGCCGACACCGGTCGCCTTACTTGGCGGACGTAGGGCCTGTGGGTGGGAGCGGAGCCTGAGCTAGATTGCCCCTCCCATCGAGTGAGTCAAGTTGGCGCCTGCTTCCTGCCCCCTGATTGCGCTGGCGACTTAAACAACCCGCTCTGTAAGATAGTCTGCCTAGCAACAGCTGATGTTAGCCAGTCAGCCCGCATCGCGCGCTTTGAACTGATTGGCTACTGTTGCCCTATAAAAGTGAATGCCTCTCCCGCCACGAGAGGAAGCACAGAGAGGAAGCACAGAGAGAGATAGAGAAAAGTCCACCGGCGAGAAAGGGCTGGTGGCAGAGAGGAGGCCTCGCGGAGCCCACGCGGAGATAAATAAAGGCAAGATTGCACACCGCCAGACTTTGTCGTGTGTCTTTCCTGCCGGCCGGGAGCGACCTCGACATTTGGTGACCCGCACGGGGACTGATCAACCCCGAGACACGGCGGTGGTGTGCAACGCTCCAGCGTGGTGCTGCCGGACAGGTGAGTTGGGGATAAGCCTGGGCTCTGGGTGGCGCGCACCTACAGGGCTTTTAGACTCCCCTCAGGCTCACGAGTAGGTGACGGGTTCTTTAAGTCACACGCGGTGAGTTACAGCCCTTAGAGGTTGAGAATGGGTAATTTACCGAGCGCGGAGGCGCGGCCCTTGGTAAAGGCCCTTAGAAAGCTTTTAAAAGCTAGAGACCTCAGGGTAGGTCAAAAAACACTAGAACTATTCATAGCAGAGATAGATAGGGTGGCTCCCTGGTTTTTACCCACGGGGCATTTAAACCTGCCGTCATGGGAGAAGTTAGGCGGGGACCTCGCTTCGGCGGAATTGGAAGGGGATATTTCGCCGGCTATTCGCCCCCTGTGGGAAA